TCTGGCGTCGTTAGCCAAAGGCGTCGTTATCCTCCTCTGGCGTCGTTATCCTCCTCTGGCGTCCTCCTCCGGCGTCGTTATCCTCCTCTCGCGTCGTTATCCTCCACTGGCGTCGTTATCCTCCTCTGGCAGCCTCCTCTGGCGTCGTTATCCTCCCCTGGCGTCCTCCTCTGGCGTCGTTATCCTGCTCTAGCGTCGTCATCCTCCTCTGGCGTCGTTATCCTCCCCTGGCGTCCGCCTCTGGCGTCGTTATCCTCCTCTGGCGTCGTTATCCTCCCCTGGCGTCCGCCTCTGGCGTCGTTATCCTCCTCTGCAGGTCCTCCTCTGGCGTCGTTATCCTCCCCTGGCGTCGTTATCCTCCTCTGGCGTTGTCATCCTTCTCTGGCGTCCTCTGGCGTCCTTCTCTGGCGTCGTTATCCTCTTCTGGCGATGTTAACCTCCTCTGGCGTCGTTATCCTCCTCTGGCGTCGTTATCACAAATATGCATAACAGCGCTCACAGAGGCTATGGCACCTGTATAATATCATGTGCCGTCCAACCTCCAACAGTTCCGGACACACCATGAAATATACGTCAACAGGGAACTGAGAGGTTTTACAATCTTGTGAAACAATGTGTGTAATTTCTCGAAGTACTGCTGGCCATGTAGGTTAGCTGGTCTGAGAAGTTATAATCTGGCGTCGTTATCCTCTGGCGTCGTTATCCTCCTCTGGCGTCGTTATCCTTCTCTGGCGTCGTTATCTTCTGGCGTTGTTATCCTCCACTGGCGTCGTTATCCTCCTCTGGCGTCGTTATCCTATGGCGTCGTTATCCTCCTCTGGCGTCGTTATCCTCTGCCGTCGTGATCCTCCACTGGCGTCGTTATCCTCCTCTGGCGTCGTCATCCTCTGGCGTCGTTATCCTCAACTAGCGTCGTTATCCTCCTCTGGCGGCCTCCCTTGGCGTCGTTATCTTCCTCTGGCGTTGTTATCCTCCTCTGACATCGTTATCCTCCTCTGGCGTCGTTATCCTCCTCTGGCGTCCTCTGGCGTCATCCTCCTGGCGTCGTTATCCTCCTCTGGCGTCGTTATCCTCCTCTGGCGTAATTATCCTCCTCTGGTGTCGTTATCCTCCTCTGGCGTCGTTATCCTCCACTGGCGTCGTTATCCTCCTCTGGCGTCCTCCTCTGGCGTCGTTATCCTCCTCTGGCGTAATTATCCTCCTATGGTGTCGTTATCCTCCACTGGCGTCGTTATCCTCCTCTGGCGGCCTCCTCTGGTGTCGTTATCCTCCTCTGGCGTCGTTATCTTCTGGCGCCGTTATCCTCCTCTGGCGTCGTTATCCTCCACTGGCATCATCCTCTGGCGTCGTTATCCTCCTCTGGCGTCGTTATCCTCATCTGGCGTTGTTATCCTCTGGCGTCGTTATCCTCCTCTGGGTGTCCCCCTCTGGCGTCGTTATCTTCCTCTGGCGTCGTTATCCTCCCCTGGCATCCTCCTCTGGTGTCGTTATCCTGCTCTGGGTCGTCATCCTCCTTTGGCGTCGTTATCCTCCTCTGGCGTCGTTATCCTCCCCTGGCGTCATTATCCTCCTCTGGCGTCGTGATCCTCCACTGGGTCATTCTCCTCCTCAGGCGTCGTTATCCTCTGGCGTCGTTATCCTCCTCTGGCGTCGTTATCCTCCTCTGGCGGCCTCCTCTGGCGTCGTTATCCTCCTCTGGCGTTGTTATCCTCCTCTGGCGTCGTTATCATCCTCTGGGGGTCCTCCTCTGCCGTCGTGATCCTCTATCGTCGTTATCCTCCTCTGGCGTCGTTATCCTCCTCTGGCGTTGTTATCCTCCTCTGGCGTCGTTATCCTCCTCTGGCGTCCTCCTCAGGCATCGTTATCCTTCTCTGGCGTCATTATCCTCCTCTGGCGTCGTTATCCTCCTCTGGGGGTCCTCCTCTGGCGTCGTTATCCTCCTCTGGCGTCGTTATCTTCCTCTGGCGTCGTCATCCTCCTCTGGCGTCGTTATCCTCCTCTGGCTGCGTCGTCCCCTCTGGCGTCTTATCCTCTGCCGTTGTGATCCTCCACTGGCGTCGTTATCCTCCTCTGGCGTCGTCATCCTCTGGCGTCGTTATCCTCCATTGGCGTCGTTATCCTCCTCTTGGCGGCCTCCTCTGGCGTCGTTATCTTCCTCTGGCGTCGTTATCCTCCCCTGGCATCCTCCTCTGATGTCGTTATCCTGCTCTGGGTCGTCATCCTGCTCTGGCGTCGTTATCCTCCTCTGGCGTCGTTATCCTCCCCTGGCGTCATTATCCTCCTCTGGCGTCGTGATCCTCCACTGGTGTCATTATCCTCCTCTGGCGTCGTTATCCTCTGGCGTCGTTATCCTCCTCTGGCGTCGTTATCCTCCTCTGGCGGCCTCCTCTGGCGTCGTTATCCTCCCTCTGGCGTTGTTATCCCTCTGGCGTCGTTATCCTCCTCTGGGGTCCTCCTCTGCCGTCGTGATCCCTCTATCGTCGTTATCCTCCTCTGGCGTCGTTATCCTCCTCTGGCGTTGTTATCCTCCTCTGGCGTCGTTATCCTCCTCTGGCGTCCTCCTCAGGCATCGTTATCCTTCTCTGGCGTCATTATCCTCCTCTGGCGTCGTTATCCTCCTCTGGGGGTCCTCCTCTGGCGTCGTTATCCTCCTCTGGCGTCGTTATCTTCCTCTGGCGTCGTCATCCTCCTCTGGCGTCGTTATCCTCCTCTGGCGTCGTTATCCTCCTCTGGCGTCGTTATCCTCTGCCGTCGTGATCCTCCACTGGCGTCGTTATCCTCCTCTGGCGTCGTCATCCTCTGGCGTCGTTATCCTCCATTGGCGTCGTTATCCTCCTCTGGCGGCCTCCTCTGGCGTCGTTATCTTCCTCTGGCGTTGTTATCCTCCTCTGACATCGTTATCCTCCTCTGGCGTCGTTATCCTCCTCTGGCGTCCTCTGGCGTCATCCTCTGGCGTCGTTATCCTCCTCTGGCGTCGTTATCCTCCTCTGGCGTAATTATCCTCCTCTGGTGTCGTTATCCTCCTCTGGCGTCGTTATCCTCCACTGGCGTCGTTATCCTCCTCTGGCGTCCTCCTCTGGCGTCGTTATCCTCCACTGGCGTCGTTATCCTCCTCTGACGTAATTATCCTCCTCTGGTGTCGTTATCCTCCTCTGGCGGCCTCCTCTGGTGTCGTTATCCTCCTCTGGCGTCGTTATCTTCTGGCGTCGTTATCCTCCTCTGGTGTCGTTATCCTCCTCTGGCGTCGTTATCCTCCTCTGGAGTTATCCTCCTCTGCGTTGTTATCCTCCTCATGGCGTCGTTATCCTCCTCTGGCGTCGTTATCCTCCTCTGGCGTCGTTATCCCTCCTCTGGCGTTAATTATCCTCTCTGCGTTGTTATCCTCCTCGTTATCCTCCACTGGCGTCGTTATCCTCCTCATCTGGCGTCCTCCTCTGGCGTCGTTATCCTCCACCGGCGTCGTTATCCTCCCGATGACGTAATTATCCTCCTCTGGTCGTTATCCTCCTCTGGCGGCCTCCTCTGGTGTCGTTATCCTCCTCTGGCGTCGTTATCTATCCTCCTTTGGCGTCGTTATCCTCCTCTGAGTCGTTATCCTCCACAACATTGTGTCCTCTGGCGTCGTTACACTAATCGCCAAAAGTTATCCTCCTTCGGGCGGAAAGTTAACCTCCACAACATCTGTAGAATTATACACTGACGCCAAAGAGGTTACCTATCTTCAGCTATCTCAGCTGTTGTGATGCGTGGACGTCCACTTCTTGGTCTGTCTATGGTGACCCCAGTCTGTGTGAAGAAGCCCTAAAGTCTTATAACTGTGATACGGCGGCATCCGAGGGCGTTGGCAACAGCATTGTATGTCGACCCCATCTGCACCACCCCAATGGCTCTTTCTCTCTCTTCAGCTGTTAATCGTCTCGTATCATACCATGTATTCTAGGCTCTCTTCATACCCTATAGAATCATTCTACATGTGAAATGGATGTAAATACTGCCAAAATATTGCTGCGTTTTGGCGATTGATATTGCTATGTGTAAAACAGAAAATGGACAAATGTTAGTTTGCAAGCAAATATGTTAACAAAGATAATTTTAGATGTTCCTAAACATTCTTTCACACTATCAAAGACACGTTTTCCTTGCTTTCACTAATGCAAATCAGCAGAAAATGTTTTAAAAGACTGAAATCATAGGAGTGATTATTTTACAATTTTACACACTCTACAACAGTTGTTTCTTGTTTTAATAGTTGAAAAATGGTGACTTTGATTTTAAACATTGTTCCAAATTAGAATTTTATTTCAACCTTTCTTTTGAACATCAAAATCACTGTCATTGGTATATTTCGGCATGGGCGAATATAGGACAATTCAACTCTTCTGAAAAAGATGCATTTCACCTAAATATGAATGCATTTGAGAAGTGGTTTTCGTGATTTGCATAAAGCTGTGTTGTTAAGCTTTCTTGTAAAGTAATACCTTCTAACATATATTTGATAGTTTTCAAGTAATTCATAAAGGTAGGAGGGTAACGTTTCTGTTGGCGTCTAGTGTACAATTCAATCCCACATCTATGATACAGTTGCGTTCGTGGCTCGGTATAGAAGGTCATGAGTGTAAGTGGGTCATCGGCCATTTGAGTAAGTGAGTTTAGTTTTACGCCACACTCAGCAATATCCCAGCTAAATGGCGGCTGTCTGTAAATAAACGATTCTGGACCAGGCAATCCAGTGGTCAACAGCATGGACATCGATTTCCGCAAATGGGAACCGATGACATGTGTCAACCAAGTCAGCGAATTTGACCACCCGATCATCTTTGTCGCCTCTTACGACAAGCATGGGTTTGTGAAGACCAATTCTAACCAGGATCTCGATGATTCCTATGATCGATGGATCATGATTATGACGACCAATTCTAACCAGGATCTTGATGATTTCTATGATCGATGGATGATGAGTATGACGATGACGACGATGATATTGGCAACTATAACAACAATAAAAATAATAATTTTATTGGACACCTGTACCTCTCTCGATTGCATGATCTATGAAACTTGATTTAAGTAAGAAAATAAGAACACCACAACATGGAAAAATGACTTTTACTTATGCAGCATCAATCCTATGGGACAGCCTGCCACAAAACCGGAGAGACTTGACTCTTTTTAGGTCACTTAAGACCTATCTCTTCTCTCAACTCTCTTCTCTCTGTGCGCTGTGAGCGGATATATTACAAGTGTTCTATTATTATTATATTATTATTATTTAGATCTGCATATAATACAAGTTGCAACAGAGTGTAACTGTCACTTGTCCAAGAATGTTCATTTTTATACACAATAATTATTCGTTGCAAACAATTAGTTTTGAAACGACCTTCTCAGTCGATTACTACAAGGTATCTCGAACGTCGACGTGACCTTGACCCTGACCCTCTACTGCACTGCAACTTTGACAGTTTTGTCCTTTCGGAGGTCAACAAAGCTTTTCCCCGTAACGTCTGTGAAGTTGTTGTTGCAGTCAATGATGGCGCTGTTTGGAACCTGAAACACTCCCAACACCGACATCATAACAACGTGTACATGGGAATTCAACACCAACGTTATTGACAGGTAAGGCTGCTTTCAACGTTACAGCATTACGGTTTATATCATGGCGTGTCTGTTCGATATGGGAGGAAAACCCGAGGTTGTGCAGACCTTAGAAGTTTATCAATATTGTAAAACCAGTGAGCAACGGCATGGGCGTGACTTTAACAAAAAGAGACGATGGTCAAATCCTGAGAATAACCTGTTTCGATTTTCTGAAGAACCACCTTCCGTTGGGCTTAAAAGGTAAAATGAAACACGATAAATAAGCGGATGAAGAAAAAGCATGTCCTCTTCTAACCGCAGTAATTAATTACAATATTTTCACACACAATACATCGAACAAGGCTCGCATTTGGAATCGCGGATCAGAGTACATGGTTCAGTGGAAGGGCATGGAATCACAACAGAAAAAGTAGGACTAGAAATGGACATGAAACGGAAAAGGAACATTACAACGAAACAGGATTTATAACTCAAGGATTATTCCTGACACGTTAGGACAGCAGCCGTCACATATTCGGTGAAAAGGCAATCGTTTGTTGCAAAACGAAAATCCTCTGTTGTTTTACACGCATGAGTTTTGGCTTTACGCCGCTTTTAGCAATATTCCAGCAACATCACGGCGGGGGACACCAGAAATGGGCTTCACATATTTTACCCATGTGGGGATTCGAACCCGAGTCTTCAGCATGACGAGCCAACGCTGAAACCACTAGGCTACCCCACCGCCCGAGTCGGTATCAAGTAGTAACGCCAGCTGGAGTTCGCGTATCCTGCCCCATGGAGGACACACGTCACAAACACACCTAAACGCAAGTCAAGTGATCAGCTGAATATACAGGAGAAAGTAACTGCCGAGCCTCCGAGAGAAGAAGAAGGTCGGCGGTGGTGTTGACATGACAGGGTCAGGAGAACTGCTCTGTTGCCTATTCTAATCTCTGTTCTTTTTCACATTTTACTTACGCTTCTTTTCTTTTCCATGTTAGTTGTTTTGAAACTCTCGGGGAGGGAGATAAAAAGTGATGGGCCAGACCGCATGGTCTTATTGGGTTCCGGTTTGGGAGCCAATCTCCCAAATACGTGTACAAGAGGCACAACTTATGGCTAGCATAGAGCAAGTAGTATATTCGAATGATCACTGATGTTTCTTGATAATGTTTGAAATACAATTTACCCAAATATGCTCAATATCTGTTTATTATTGTGTGAACGTCAACTTAGCCGTGTGAGTACTTCGGGTACACATGTTCATACCGTTTAGCTTAGCATAGTGTGGGTACACGTGTAATACCTTGTTTAGTTTAGTATAGTGCGGGTACACGTGTTCATACCTTGTTTAGTTTAGTATAGTGAGGGTACACATGTTCATACCTTGTTTTGTTTAGCATAGTGTGGGTACACGTGTAGTACCTTGTTTAGTTTAGTATAGTGCGGGTACACATGTTCATACCTTGTTTTGTTTAGCATAGTGTGGGTACACGTGTAGTACCTTGTTTAGTTTAGTATAGTGCGGGTACACGTGTTCATACCTTGTTTAATTTAGTATAGTGCGAGTACACGTGTTCATACCTTGTTTAGTTTAGTATAGTGCGGGTACACGTGTTCATACCTTGTTTAATTTAGTATAGTGCGAGTACACGTGTTCATACCTTGTTTAGTTTAGTATAGTGCGGGTTTTCATGTTCATACCTTGTTTAGTTTAGTATAATGCGAGTACACGTGTTCATACCTCATTTAATTTAGTATATGCGGGTACACGTGTTCATACCTTGTTTAGTTTAGTATAGTGCGGGTACACGTGTACGTTGTTTAGTTTTAATAGTGTGGGCAATAATGTTACCTTGTTTAGTTTAGTATAGTGCGGGTACACGTGTTCATACCTTGTTTAGTTTAGTATAGTGCGGGTACACATGTTCATACCTTGTTTTGTTTAGCATAGTGCGTGTAGTACCTTGTTTAGTTTAGTATAGTGCGGGTACACGTGTTCATACCTTGTTTAGTTTAGTATAGTGCGAGTACACGTGTTCATACCTTGTTTAGTTTAGTATAGTGCGGGTACACGTGTTTAGTTTACGTGTAATACCTTGTTTAGTTTAGTATAGTGCGGGTACACGTGTTCATACCTTGTTTAGTTTAGTATAGTGAGGGTACACATATTCATACCTTGTTTTGTTTAGCATAGTGTGGGTACGCACATGTGAGCAACCTTGTTTAGTATAGTGCGGGTACACGTGTTCATACCTTGTTTAGTTTAGTATAGTGCGAGTACACGTGTTCATACCTTGTTTAGTTTAGTATAGTGCGGGTACACGTGTTCATACCTTGTTTAGTTTAGTATAGTTCGGGTACACGTGTTCATACCTTGTTTAGTTTAGTATAGTGCGGGTACACGTGTTCACATACCTTGTTTAGTTTAGTATAGTGAGGGTACACATGTACATACCTTGTTTAGTTTAGTATAGTGCGGGTACATGTGTACATACCTTGTTTAGTTTAGTATAGTGCGGGTTGTTTAGTTTAGTATAGTTCGGGTACACAGTACATACCTTGTTTAGTTTAGTATAGTTCGGGCACACGTGTTCATACCTTGTTTAGTTTAGTATACTGCGGGTATTCATGTTCATAGACCGGGTTGTTGGTGGCCTTGTTGAAGGCACAGATGAGGACCGACCGTCTCATGGAGCTGTTGTTGATGCCGCTGCTGTGCAGGAGGTTGCAGTGGAAGAAGAGGGCGTCACCTAGATAACGAATACAGCTAAGTGAGTGAGTGCGTTCTTACGCCGCTTTTAGCAATATTCCAGCAATATCAGGGCGGGGGACAGCAGAAATGTGCTTCACACACTGTAATTACGTGGGGAATCGAACTCAGGCCTACAGCGTGACGAGCGAACGCTTAACCACTAGGCTACACCACCGCCCCGTTGAATACAGGTAATGAGGACGGTGTAACAAGTTTCTGGACTCACAAATCATTTGCATGGAGATGTTAGCTTTCCCTTGTAACTATATTTCATTGTAGATGAAATGTTTAAAAATGATTTCAGAGAATGACATAAATCTGCAGCGAAAAGTAGTTGCGAAGATAACACTGTTATAATGTCTTGAAAGGCATTACGAGGGAGTGAGAGAGTATGTTTTTACGCCGCTTTTAGCAATATTCTAGCAATATCACGGTATTACTACACAAACTTCTAAATGCCTTTGAAGAATATATACACCATCACCTGGCTCCATCTTTATATACTTGTCCAAACTATACACCATCACCTGGCTCCATCTCTATATACTTGTCCAAACTATACACCATCACCTGGCTCCATCTCTATATACTTGTCCAAATTATACACCATCACCTGGCTCCATCTCTATATACTTGTCCAAACTATACACCATCACCTGGCTCCATCTCTATATACTTGTCCAAATTATACACCATCACCTGGCTCCATCTCTATATACTTGTCCAAATTATAAACCATCACCTGGCTCCATCTCTATATATTTGTCCAAACTATACACCATCACCTGGCTCCATCTCTATATACTTGTCCAAATTATACACCATCACCTGGCTCCATCTCTATATACTTGTCCAAATTATAAACCATCACCTGGCTCCATCTCTATATATTTGTCCAAACTATACACTATCACCTGGCTCCATCTCTATATACTTGTGTCGACACATCCTCCTGACTTCCGCGACCCTCTCCAAGTCAGCCCCTGTCTGTCCCCCCACCATCAGATGTTCGATACGCCCACATCGGTGGAACCCCTCCAGGATCTGATAGACAGAGAAATAAAAACGACAATAAGTGAGTTAGGAAGGTTTTACACCGCTTTTAGCAATATTATTAATGGTTGGGGACACCAGAAATGGGTTTCACACACTGTAACCATGGTCTTTGGACCACCACTTTAACTACTAGGCCACCATACGCCCATCCAATGATAAGTCAATTCAACGGTTTAACAAGTAATGAGGTGAGGTGAGGTGAGGTGAGGTGAGGTGAGGTGAAATTGGGTTTAACGTCGTGCTTGAGAATATTTTGCTCATATGACGACGTGCATGCGTGTGTATGTGTATGTGCGGCTGCTTGTACTAGCCCAGACTGAAGCTGGTTTTATAGTGCTAGCCCACTGAGATACCATGCCGCAGTGAAGCATGAATACCCCACTCAGACACATTATACTGACTCCGAGCCGACCAGTCCTTGTTGTACCCATTAATGCCTAGCGCCAGGCGAGGG